AGTACAGTAATATTGTCCTGTCATACACGAGTGAAATGGAAACCTATCAAATGTTTTACATTTTAACAGGATTGCTAGTACAGTGGACCCCCGGTTAACGATATTTTTTCATTCCAGAAGTATGTTCAGGTGCCAGTACTGACCGAATTTGTTCCCATAAGGAATATTGTGAAGTAGATTAGTCCATTTCAGACCCCCAAACATACATGTACAAACGCACTTACATAAATACACTTACATAATTGGTCGCATTGGGAGGTGATCGTTAAGCGGGGGTCCACTGTATTTTCTTTCTCTCGTGAACATTTCAGATGACAGGTAAATCTTACAAACTTCTATTTACATTCATTAAGTCTTTTCTTCACCATGGAGAAATGGAACAGAATTCTTCCCCTGTAGCTGTGCATGCCATAAAAGGCAACTAAAATGCTGGGAGCTACTAACCCCTTCTCATGTATACATTATTAAATTTACAAAGAGAAATTTGTGTTTCTTTTTAAGTCACCCTGCCTTGGTGGGATACGACCGTTTTATTGAAAAAAAAGAAAGGTCTTTTCTCTGTTTCATTAACTTGTAAGATGACAAGCAAATCTTGTAAATTTGTACTTACCTGTTAACTGCCTCACTTAAATTTACAGAGGAGGACCTCTCTCTGACTGTAGTTAATTTATGCATAATTTCTATACCTCAAATTTGATGCCAGCTGACATTTTATGCTTCAGTTTTATTGCCTGACAAATAAACCACCACCACCATCTGGGGTACCAGACTAGTTACAGGTTATCATTTGACAAATATGTCTTGTTTACTGACAAATAAACCACCATTTCTTGAGTGCCTCTCAGCTAGCAAGGACTTGTTTCTATCTTTTCCTTTTAATTTTTCTGCCTTATTCAGTTTTTCAATTGTGGACACCACTAATGCATGTAACAGTTTTGGGATAATGTATGTTGAGAACAGGTTCTTTTTATTTTAGCATTTCTCCACCTACATATCTGAAAGCTGTTTTAAATATGCTAATGTAGCATATGGATTTCTTGCTGTTTTTTAAATGTGATGGTCTGAGACCGGGATGCAGGGACAATGATCAAAAGAACTATTAACAGATGTATAACAGATAAAGTGGGTACTCAAGTTACATCCACACTTACACTTCCTGAGCTACACACATTCACATTTGCAAATGCACCAAGTTACCCATATCCACATTTACAAATAAACCAGTTTATAACCATCCATACTTACAAATACTACACATTAAAAACAGTCACTTACATATCAAATTTACCTAGAGTCTACCTGGAAGGTATTCTGGGGATCAGTGCCCCTGTGGCCCAGTCCACAACTAGGCCTCTCGGTGGATCAGGGCCTGATCAACCAAGCTGTTACTTCTGGCTGCACGTAGTCCAACATACGAACCACAGCCTGGCTGATCCGGCACTGACTTTAAATATCTGTCCAGCTCCCTCTTGAAAGCAGCCAGGGGTCTATTGGTAATTCCCCTTATGGCTGGTGGGAGGCTATTGAACAGTCTTAGGCCCCAGACACTTACTGTGTTTTCTCTTAGTATACCAATGGCACCCCTACTTTTCATTGGGAGTATTTTGTACCGCCTGCCCAGTCTTTTGCTTTCGTAGGGAGTGATTTTAGTGTGCAGATTAGGGACCATTCCTTCTAGGATTTTCCAGGTGTAGATTATAATATATCTCTCTCACATGCATTCCAGCGAGTACTAGTCAAGTGCTTCCAAGCGTTCCCAGTAGTTAAGGTGATTGACAGAACTTACAAGTGCAGTAAAGGTTCTCTGTACATTATCTAGATATGCAGTTTCACCTGCTTTGAATAGAGATGTTCATGTACAGCAGTATTCCATTCTAGAGAGAACAAGTGATTTAAAAAGGATCATCATTGGTTTGGCATCTCTTGTTTTGAATGTTCTCTTTATCCATCCTATCATTTTCTTTGCAGTTGTGATTGTGGCACTGTTGTGATCCTTCACAGTGAGATCCTCAGACATTACCACTCCTGGGTCCCTCACATTATTTTTTTGCTTTGCTGTATGATTAGAGTTTGTAGTAGTACTCAGTTCTAATTATTATCTCCTCCAGTTTTCCATATCGGAGTACGTACTTGGAATTTGTCGTCATTGAACATCATATTGTGTTCTGTTGCCCATTGGAAAACTTGGTTTATATCTTCTTGGAGGTTAACTGGGTCCTCAATAGATGACAGTCTCATGCAGATCCTAATACTGTCTGCAAAGGATGACATGGTGCTGTGGATTACATCTCTGTCTATGTCTGATATGAGGATGAGGAAGAGGATGGGGGCAAGTACTGTGCCTTGTGGAACAGAAATTTTCTTTATGGCAGCTTCTGATTTAACTCTTTTTACCACTACTCTTTGTGTTCATTTGGTTAGAAAGTTGAAGATTCATCTCTCCACTTTGCCAGTTATCCCTTTAGCATGCATTTTGTATGCTATTACACTATGATCACACTTGTCAAAGGCTTTTGCAAAGTCTGTGTATATTACATCCACATTCAGTTTTTCTACCGGTGCATTCAAGACCATATCATAATGATTCAATAGTTGCGAGAGGCACGATCGACCCACTCTGAACTCATGTTGCCCTGGATTGTACAGATTTTGGGACTCCAAGTGGTTTGCAATCATGTTTCTTAATACTATTTCTAAGATATTTATGATGTGGGACGTTATAGTTCTATAGTTCATAGCTAATGCTTTGCTGCCACCTTTATGGAGTGGGGCTATATCCGTTGTTTTTAGTGACTGGAATTTCACCTGTGTCTAAGCTCCATCTCCATAGTATACTTGGGGCATGCGAAAGGGGTTTCTTGTAGTTCTTAATGAACACAGAGTCCCATGAGTCTGAACCTGGGGCTGAGTACATGAGTATGTTGTCAATGGCTTTCTAAGTCTATTGCAGTTGGGGTTAATGTCAGAAATCTGGCATACATTAATGGAGTTTTGAGGTTCATTCTTGAAAAAATAATTTGGATTATTGATCTTTAGACTGATTAGTGCCTTGCTGAACACAGAGTCATATTGGGATTTCAGTAACTCACTCATTTCTTTGTTGTCATCTGTGTAAGTCCCATCTTGCATATGACAAGAAATATTTTGAATTTCTTTCAATTTCACTAATCCCTTTAAGCTCCTGTCTCTCCTGGATCCTGTATGAATTCATTAACTAAAGTTTGATACTTTCCACTTCCTTGGCCAGCACTTCCTTCTGTGTGTCAGATAATCTAGCGTTCTTGAGCAGCTCGGTGATTCTTCGTCGTTTTCCATAGAGGGAGTGTCTTTCTCTCTCCAGTTTTCTTCTTTCTTAGGGAAATATGCCTTGAACATACTTCAGCTGCCAGGAAGTTGATCCATTCAAGGCACTGGTTTGGATCCACGAATTACAAACATCCACACTTATAAATAACTTAAATTACACATTTTTTTTTTTTTTTTCAACAAGTCGGTCGTCTCCCACTGAGGCAGGGTGACCCAAAAAAGAAAGAAAATCCCCAAAAAGAAAATACTTTCATCATCATTCAACACTTTCACCAGACTCACACATTATCACTGCTTTTGCAGAGGTGCTCAGAATACAACAGTTTAGAAGCATATACGTATAAAGATACACAACATATCCCTCCAAACTGCCAATATCCCAAGCCCCTCCTTTAAAGTGCAGGCATTGTACTTCCCATTTCCAGGACTCAAGTCCAACTATATGAAAATAACCAGTTTCCCTGAATCCCTTCACTAAATATTACCCTGCTCACACTCCAACAGATCGTCAGGTCCCAAGTATCATTCGTCTCCATTCACTCCTATCTAACACGCTCATGCACGCTTGCTGGAAGTCCAAGCCCCTCGCCCACAAAACCTCCTTTACCCCCTCTTTCCAACCCTTTTGAGGACGACCCCTACCCCTCTTTCCTTCCCTTATAGATTTATATGCTTTCCATGTCATTCTACTTTGATCCATTCTCTCTAAATTACACATACCTGCACTTATAAACATTACAAGTTTTAAGCACCCACACTTAAAAATATCCACATCTGCAAAAGAGTGGGGAAGGGGGTATGCACTTTAGAACCAGTTATATTTTTGACATCTTCTAAGCGAGCACTTAGGCATCAGCTAAATTTTCCACAGCTACAAAGGGGATACTCAGGAATCAGTTACATTTTTACAACAATCATTCCTTTGTTATGGACATGTACATGTGAAACAAAAGCATCTTTTGTGTTATTGTATTTTTATAGGAAAATAGGTTCCTTGTTAAAATCTTTCTTATTCTTTCAACAAATCGACTGTATCCCACTGAAGCTGGGTGGCCCCAAAAACAAAAACAAAAGTTTCTTTTTTTAACTTGAGTAATGTATACAGGAGAAGGGGTTACTAGCCCCTTGCTCCCAGCATGTTAGTCGCCTCTTACGACATGCATGGCTTATGGAGAAAGAATTCTGTTCCACTTCCTCATGGAGATAAGAGGAAATAAACAAGAACTAGAGCTAGTAAGAAAATAGAAGAAAACCCAGAGGGGTGTGTGTATATATACATGTATATGCTTGTACATGCATGTATATAAGTAGAAGTAGAAGTAGCAAGATGTGCCTGAAATCTTGCATGTTTATGAGACAGAAAATGATACCAGCAATCCTACCATCATGTAAAACAATTACAGGCTTTCATTTTCACTCACTTGGCAGGACGGTAATACCTCCCTGGGTGGCTGCTGTCTACCAACCTACTACCTAGGTTGTTAAAATCAACTGGTGTAAATTATATTTCATAAACACACAAATTAAAATTTTTTATGCAGTGTTTTCTCTAACAATGGTAAGGAGACACTTGACCTAATTCTTCTTTCTTTCAGCAAACCAGCTGTATCCCACTGAGGTTGACCTGATTATGATTTTTTTTTTTTTTTTTTTTTTTTTTTTTAAAAGGTTTAATTTGTTAATTTTTTTCTAAGGTACACGAGCAGTCTGTGATTGGAATGACCCACCACCCTCATCAGAATCTGCTTGCTACATATAGTGAAGAAGGTCTTCTAAAGCTGTGGAAGCCATAATTACATTTTTCCAAGTCTCCCATTTGGACATTTTTTGACCACTGGAATCTACTGTCCACAGAGATGGTCTTAAATTATGAAAGTCATCATTGCATTTTCCTAGTCTCTTATATTCATTTTAATTAGTTAAATTGCTTGTGTTGATTTACTGAAATAATTTTATAAAGTGTCATAGCAGTTAACATTTGAATTAACTCAAAGAGAACACATTCACTGGCACTCACACTGTAGCTCTGTTCTCATAGCACATAAGAAATGATGTATTTTTAATTTTTGGTATAAGCAGGTTTCTCACTAATGGTACTGAATATTGATATTTGATGAGGTCTAGCTACGTAGAAAAGAAGTAAGAATGCTTCAGTTGAAAACACAGTACTGTACTGTATTTGTTGAGATAAAGAACATTATCTATGGAGGAAAAGAAGGAAATGTACGAGAGTGTAGTGGTACCCACACTCTTATATGGATTTGAAGTATGGGTTGTGAATAGTTGCAGCAAGGAGGAGGCTGGAGGCAGTGGAGCTGTCTATGTCTAAGGGCAATTTGTAAAAAATATTATGCAGATAATTCTTTCTTTCAACACACCAGCCGTATCCCACCGAGGCGGGGTGGCCCAAAAGGAAAAATGAAAGTTTCTCCTTTTACATTTAGTAATATATACAGGAGAAGAGGTTACTAGCCCCTTGCTCCCGGCATTTTAGTCGCCTCTTACAACACGCATGGCTTACGGAGGAAGAATTCTGTTCCACTTCCCCATGGAGGTAAGAGGAAATAAACAAGAACTAGAACTAGAAAGAAAATAGAAGAAAATCCAGGGTGGTGTGTATATATATGTTTGTACATGTATGTGTAGTGTAACCTAAGTGTAAGTAGAAGTAGCAAGACGTACCTGAAATCTTGCACATGTATGAGACAGAATAAAAAGACACCAGCAATCCTACCATCATGTAAAGCAATTACAGGCTTCTGTTTTACACTCACTTGGCAGGATGGTAGTACCTCCCTGGGCGGTTGCTCTTTTTTTTTTTTTTCCGCCGGTACTCTGCCGGCCCGGGTCTTTTCCAAGAGTCGTGACCCGGCCTTGGCTCCCTATCTGGGGAGTATCTCGAGACCTAAGTCTCCCATGGGAGGAGGTACAAGTACTCCCTCATCTTTGGGACCAACTGTCCCCAGGCCTAGCCACAGTCCCCGCCCTCACGGGGCTCATAGGGAGAAGCTAGGCCTCTGGTCTGCCATCTGCCCCGCCCCAAAGGGGCTTGTGGGGATGGCAGTCTTGTGAGCTGTAGGTGGTAGCAAGCTCAGGTCTTGTTCCACAAAAAAAGGCTGTCTACCAACCTACTACCTAGAGCAGATAATTCATATTGTGTAAATTAGGAGGAGGTGTGGAATTACTAAAAGCATTGAGGAAATGGTATTGTGATACTGACAAGATGTGGAAAAAGACACTTATGTACAGCTCAGGATGCTAATAAGTGTCCTGAACTGTACATAAGTGTCTTTTTCCACACTAAAAGCATTCTTCAGAGAGCTGAGGAGGGGTGGAGCAAAACAGGATGACTTGGAACATGTATAAATCTGTAGTGGAGGGGAGGGGTAGGAGTCATCATAGGAAAGGATGGAGGGAGGGAGTAAAAGAGGTTGTCTGTGCAAGGGGTTTGGACATAAGCAGACGTATGTTAGCATGTTAGATAGGAGTGAGTGGAGACGAATGGTTTTTGGGACTTGATGAGCTGTTTGGTGTGTGAACAGAGTAATATTTTGTGAAGGGATTCAGAGAAAACGGTTAGCTTTACTCAAATTCTGGAGGTGAGAAGTATAATACCTGCACTTTAAAGGAGGGGTTTGGGATATTTGCTGTTTATAGTGACCTCTAAACTCTCATATCTGTGCAACTCTGCAAAGACAGTGATAGTGTGAATGATGATGAAAGTGTTTCTGTTTTTTTAGGTCACCCTGCCTCAGTGGAGAAGGCCAGCATACTAAAAAAAAAATTATTTAGGGAAAGAACTTTAAATGTTGATAATTAACCCACAAGCAATCAGTCAGTCAGTATATATTTCCACATTGTACAAACCATGTATCAAGTTGGATGGCATTACATCAGTCATGTGGAAAGCCCCTTAGTTATACAGAGCATTTTGTACAAGCTTAAACCTAACTTCTAGAAGAACCAGAGTGTTTTAAAAATATGTACATGTACAAGATGTAAATGATATTCACAATAAAAGAGATTAAATGTACAGTCAAACCTAGGTTTTCATATGTTTTCATAGTTTGTATGTAAAACTATAGTTATTCTCTATAAAATGTATATTTTGTTAATATTTTTTGGGTGTAATGGATTAATTGGATTTACATTATTTCTTATGGGAAATATTGCTTCAGTTTTCGTAAGATTTGGGTTTTCGTCAGACTTTTTCGAATGGATTAATCACGAAAACCAAGGTTCCACTGTATATGAATTAAATGCATATGAAGCAGATGAAATCATAGCAAGGTACATGGTAATAAAAACCTTAGATTATACTTAATTAAAATTATTCAGTTAATCAAAAAAAAAAATTCTAATAAAAATTACAATATAGGTGAAACTAGTAATGTGAATTATTTAAAAATTTTATGAAATAGTACTTTACATATATGTAACAAGACATTAATGATCTTTCAACGAACCGGCCGTATCCCACCAAGGCAGAGTGGACCAAAAGGAAAAATGAAAGTTTCTCCTTTTAAATTTAATAATATATACAGGAGAAGGGGTTACTAGCCCATTGCTCCCGGCATTTTAGTCGCCTCTTATGACACACATGGCTGATGGGGGAAGAATTCTGTTCCACTTCCCACTGGAGATAAGTGAAAATAAACAAGAATAAGAACTACTATGAAAATAGAAGAAAAACCAGAAGGATGTGTATATATATGCTTGTACATGCATGTGTAGTGTGACCTAAAATGTAACTAGAAGTAGCAAGATGTACCTGAAACCTTACTTTTTTTTTTTTTTCAACAAACCGGCCATATCCCACCAAGGCAGGGTGGCTCAAAAAGGAAAATGAAAGTTTCTCTTTTTAAATTTAGTAATTTATACAAGAGAAGGGGTTACTGACCCCTTGCCCCCGGCATTTTAGTCGCCTCTTACAACACGCATGACTTGCAGAGGAAGAATTCTGTTCCACTTCCCCATGGAGATAAGAGGAAATAAACAAGAACAAGAACTAGAAAGAAAATAGCAGAAAACCCAGAGGGTTGTGTATATGTATGTGTAGTGTGACCTAAGTGTAAGTAGAAGTAGCAAGACGTACCTGAAATCTTGCTTGTTTATGAGACAGAAAAAGGACACCAGCAATCCTACCATCATGTAAAACAATTACAGGTTTCTGTTTCACACTCATTTGGCAGGATGGTAGTACCTCCCTGGGTGGTTGCTGTCTACCAACCTACTACCTCCAACATTAATGATATTCAAAGTAAAATCAATTTAATGAGAATGACCCAGAAGTGTATGCTGCATATAAAATCATAGCAAAGTACACGAGAATAAGAATACTTAGTTTATATGGGTTGACCATTACTAATCCAGCGTCATCGGGACCTGCAGGGTGCTGGATTAGTGATTTTACCAGATTACAGAGTGGTTAGGATAGAATACACGTAACCCAACTGCGATATTTACGCATCAACGATTTCACCAAATTTATGCCCTATATTTAGCCCATTCCATTGTTCCAGTCTACCAAACTCAGCTATTTCACTAGTATTCCTTCTGTGGACAGAGTATAAGAAACTGCCCATTTACCTATTTCAGCTACCTAATAAAGTGCTCAGAAATCGGTAATTTGGCTAATTTCACACAAATTTCAAGAGATGCCAATTTCAAAATAGGGTCCAGCATAAACAATGCAGACATTCCTGGCACTAAAAAATTTTCTCTGTTCATTAGTCACTTTCCATTTTGAATTTTTATTCACACAAAAAATAGATTTACTGTTATGTAGACAACTGCATTATTAATGTAATAATTGTATAAATAATGTCAACCCATTTGTGACTGCATATCAGACCTGCCAGTTGGACACATATTGGACAGTGACATTTGTTTACTCTTGAACATCTGCTACTTTGAGCTCAATTTCAAGGTACTTTCCATCATGAAAGAGTCAAAATCATAACTATTTTTGTAATATATCTTCCATTCTATGAAATGAGATAAAAAAATTGAGAATATAGCCATAAAAAAAAACATACAAAAATACACCACAAAGTTGCTGTTTTACACCAAAAACATGGTCACAGTTTTTTTTTTCTCTCATTATGCACTGAGTGCTGCAGGACTTGTTTTATATAGTGAACACTTACCACACAGATCTATTCTCTCATATGTAGGCCCGAATTTACCGGTCACAGCTTATCTGAGTGAGCTGAGCTCATGGGGACAGACATTGGCTTCAAAGCCACCTCATCTTTTATGGACAATGCACGGTGTATGTGCTTTACACAACAAGAAGCATTTTTTTTATTCGTTGGAACCATGACAAGGGCTAAAAGTGAACGGAGAAAAAGAAATTGGAATGACTTGTGCAGCAAGTAGCGAAAAGTTGACGTGGCAACCCTGGAAATTTGAAATTATGCTAGCCGAAATTAGTGCCAGATTACTGATGGAACTGGACTACTGATTGCTGGATTAGTGATGGCCAACCTCTACTACATATATTAAACATATTCAGTAATTCAAAATAAAATTATGGTAAAAATTGCAATAAGGATGAAGCTGTTTAACTGAATTGATACACAATATGGTGAGTCATTACATGTGTATCTAATAATAAATGAGAGTTGAAGGAAGGGCAAAACAAGAACAGGAATAATATTGCATGAGAGACAGGGTTTCCGGATTTATTTGGCATAATAAATTGCCAGGATCACATTACAGTAAGGAGGTGCTTTTTAACAGTAGCTCTGAAGTGGTTGGCTGATAGGGAACCTCTGGAGTCTTAGGCAGAGAGTACCAGATTTTAGGTCCTTTTATGTACATTAAGTTCTTTGACACAAATTTGGCAATCTAGGTACAATTAACATGCTGGCAGTTTCATCTGCCTAAAGTCCCACTTGAAGACATTCCACTACTCAATTCTGTTAAATTCTTAGATATTTTGCTAATATGCCTTCCATTCCATCAATTGAACACAAGATACCAACCATTGAACAATGAGAGTTACCCTATAAAGTACACACAATTTGGTAATTTGGTCTTTTTTTTTTTTTTTTAAGAAATTCCAATTTATAAACAGAAGCCAAAATAAACACTACATTTCAGTAACTAAATCAAGCCATCCTCTGGATTTTTTAGCTACTGAAATCACCCATGGTCAGTAGTTTTACTTGAGCCCTGTGGGCACTTATAGCCACGTCAGCTATGATGTCAGTCATTGCATTGTTGTTGTCTTCATATTCTTGCCTCAGTCTCCTATTGTTAGGTGGTGGATTGTATAACACCAATTACTTGGGTCCTGCAGTCTTAACTCAGCCCACTATGAAATCTTGTGTGTCTCATCTGTGTATTTCTCATGCCTCTACAAAGCTCCACTGATTTCTGAGTAGCAGCACCACTTTTCTGCCTTCCTGTTTCCTCTGTTTTTCTTTCACTTGATATACAGATGGAAATGTGGCATTTGATATGTAGCTCAGTTTTCTCTCTGTGATAGCTATGATGTATGGAGTTACTTCAGCTATTCGTTCCTTCAGCTCGTCACTCATGTTTGTATACTATACTCTTAGCTTACTTTCTTTTACCATACATTGGTTTTTTGCTTTCTACTCCCTCTGCATGTTGCTCATCTGACAGATGTGTGGGAAGCAGGGTCTAGGTTAGTGTGCACATTACCACAGGGGATGGTCAGGGAAGGGGGAGTTAGAGGGAGAAATGGCAAAGGGTGAGGAACTGGTGTTAGTGTTGGTGCTGGTATGATGAGGGTGGCCCAGAGTTGATCCAGTATGGAAAGGGGGTTGGGGTTGTTTGTGGTGGAATGCTTTGGGATTGGGAATTCCCTCCTCATGGTTCTTTCTCTGCTGCTTACTCTCCATTTCCTCTCCATTGCAGACCTGTCCTGATCTAAGTATGCACAACTGTTGCATTGTGTAGTTTTCAGGCACACTTTCCGTTGTAGGACCCTGTCCCATTCTACATGGAACCTGAAGGTCACTTTGAGTGTTGTTTGCTTCAGGGGAACCTCCAGATTCTCCAAAATTTTGTCACCTGCCCAATCTCTCTCTCTCCAATGCACCGGATGATAGATATAGCCTAGTGTTACTCATCCTCCCATCTTCTGTATCATGGGCTTCCTTCAGCCTCAGAGGCCATAGATCACCAGTAACCTCCCTCTTTCTTCCTCATGTTGCCTCTCCCTCCAGGTTTCTGTCTTCACCATTTCACTGGCTGTCTTCTTTATCATTTCTTTAGCTTCTCTATTTTGAGATCGCATTTCTGCTAGCGACATTCCATCTCTATTTCCTCTGGTTCCTTCTGCACTCTCTCTCTCTCTCACTCCTAACATGTTTTTGCCCATGTTGTCTTCCCTCTCGTTTCTTCTATGGTATTTTCATCCTTAACATTTTCTCTCTTAACTTTAGAGCTCTTTCTTGTACCACAGTAGCCTTATTGATCTTTAATTTTTTCCCCTTGGTTTGTTACATATTAACAAAGTTTTCTTCTGAAGGGTAGCGAATGTCTCTTCAAACTCCTTTCTCAGAGTTCCTCCCACTATGGTCCCTTTCATTCTTTTTATTTTCTCCTCCAGCTTTAGGGCCCTATCCTCTGCCATTTTACCACTATTTGCTTGTTCAGTAGCCTCTTCCTCCCTATAGTGCATGCTCCTTCAGTGTCCCTTCTAAGGTCACTGAGCCTCCCTTTATATTCTTTCCTCAGTTGGTTTGACAGTCTTGCTACATCCAAGAATATATATCTTGGATATACTGATTCTTCACTTTGTCCTAGATCACATCAGAAAACCTAACATGAGCCAGTAGGCCTTCTGTGATAGTTTTCTTTATTACTATTTCCTTGCCTCTTCCTAGGTGGTAGGTTGGTAGACAGCAACTGCCCAGGGAGGTACTACCATCCTGCCAGGTGAGTGTGAAGTGGAAGCCTGTAATTGTCTTATTTGATGGTAGGATTGCTGGTGTCTTTTTTTTTTGTCTCTGAAACAAGCAAGATTTCAGGTACATCTTGTTACTCCTACTTACACTTAGGTCACACTACACATGCATGTACAAGCATATATATACATACCCCTCTGGGTTTTCTTCTATTTTCTTACTAGTTCTTGCTCTTGTTTATTTCCACTTATCTCCATGGAGAAGTGGAACAGAATTCTTCCTCCATAAGAGCCATGTGTGTCATAAGAGGTGACTAAAATGTCACAAGCAAGGGGCTATATTACTGAATTTAAAAAGAAAAACTTTCCTTTTTCTTCTTGGGCCTTCTTGCCTCGGTGGAATACAGCCGGTTTGTTGAAAGAAGAAGGCATCTTTTCTTGTACCTAGCCTATTCCACTTGTTTTACATATATTGCCTGCCCTGTTTACCTCACTTGCTGTATGCAATATAAAGTGTGTTTTGTGATGTGATCTCTGTGTACTTGATTAAAGCTCTTTTTGTGAAATACTGTACAATAAAGGTTTTCATAGATATTGTGTGTCTTATTCTTTTTACTTCTTGCCTTGTGACTTTTACCAACAACAATAATCAAAATAAGCATTAAGCCCCACAAGAGTCACAGTGTTAGAAGTGCTGATAAGGGCATATTCTAAGCATATCTGTTTCATTATTTGACCACTTGGGTAAGATGAAGGTATTTGAATCAAAGAAATGAGATATTCTTCCCCATCCTCATATAGTCAGAATGTCTCCCATACCCTTCCCTCTTTATTATTTTATATTAAAAAACCTGTAAGGGTCACAGTGTTGCTTTAGGAAGGATGCTCTTCTAGGGATGGGGGTGCCTTATTTGTGTAGGGCTCTTGATCGGTGGAATCGAGCTACCTTCCTCTTCCATTGATCAAACCTGATTATCTTTCATTACCAAACAGGGCACTGAAGATGTCTAAAGAGAAGTCTGCAAGCTCTTTGGTAAGACATTCTTTTAATACATGATGAACTGACTGCATAACCAGGCTGGCCTCAGAGGTGCCAGAGATTTCTCCATAAAGTGTCACTGTCTGAATCTTGCAAGTCCAATATGTCAGCAGTAAAAGTTTACCAGGAACACTTATATGGTTTATGGGAAAACATTGTTAGTCACTGCCTTTGCCAGTGATTTTGGAAGAGTTCAGAGAGCACTGGAAAATAATTTGAATAAAATATGTTCATGAGGGGGGAGAGGCACTAAATCCATATGGGTCCTACAGGACCTCAGGAAATTAGAGGTAGTCATGTACGGTTTAAGGAAGGGATTGGTCAGGTCCAGTTCCCTGGTTGTGTCACACCACCTGATGGTTGTGTCACCCCATCTGATGGATGTCACCCAATCTGATGGATGTCACCCCATCTTATGGATGTGTCACCCCATCTGATGGACATGTCACCCCATCTGATGGTTGTTTCACACCATCTGATGGTAGTTCTGTGTTGTGTTACTTCACCTCATGGTAGTGCTGTTGTGTTACTTCACCACATGGCAGTGCTGTTGTGTTACTACACCTCATGGTAGTGCTGTTGTGTTACTACACCTCATGGTAGTGCTATTTACTTCACCTCATGGTAGTGCTGTTGTGTTACTTCACCACATGGCAGTGCTGTTGTGTTACTCCACCTCATGGTAGTGCTGTTGTGTTACTCCACCTCATGGTAGTGCTGTTGTGTTACTTCACCTCATGGTAGTGCTGTTGTGTTACTTCACCACATGGCAGTGCTGTTGTGTTACTACACCTCATGGTAGTGCTGTTGTGTTACTCCACCTCATGGTAGTGCTGTTGTGTTACTACAACTCATGGTAGTGCTGTCAGTTGTTTAACTACACCACATGGTAGTGCTGTGGTCAGTACCTGACAGGTCGGCTGGTCAGGTACTGACTAGGTGCCTGTCCAGCTCCCTTTTGAAGACAGCCAGGGGTCTTTTATAATATCTTCATTTCTTCAAGTACATGTACAAGGTATACAGGCCCAGCAGACATCAGTGACCTACTACTATACAGAAAGCCCCTTATATGCAGGGCATTCTGGGCACATTAGGTCAGTTTTGTCCTAGGATGCGACCCACACCAGTCGACTAACACCCAGGTACCCATTTTACTGATGGGTGAATATAGACAACCGTTGTAAGGAAATAAGCCCGATGTTTTCACCCTTGCTGGGAATCGAACCTGGACCTCAACGTTTGAAGCGAGAACTTTGCCTACTAGGCTATGAGCCACCCTTATGTTTGCTGAGAGGCAGGTCTTGGGCCCCTAGCACTGATTGTGTTGTCTTTTAGTGCAGTCCACCTCATGGTAGTGCTGTGGTCGGCAAGGACGAAAACATTGGGCGTGTTTCCTTTAACGACTGTTGTCCATGTTCACCCATCACTAAAATGGGTACCTGGGTGTTAGCCGACTGGTGTGAGTCGCATCCTGGGACAAAATTGACCTAATTTGCCCGAAATACTCCTCATAACAAGGGGCTTTCTATATAGCAGTATGTCACTGATGTCAGCTAATCCTGTATACCTTGTACATGTAGAAAATAAAAATATTGTTATTATTATCATCTATTATTATTATTATTACTACTATCTTAATCTCGGGTGTGAACATCCCAGACCGTTTAAGTCTCAGACCAAATGGTTGTCCTCTTGTCCTCTTTTACCCCCTCCCTCCTTCCAATGACTGACGATATCATTGGCCTACTGGTCTTCCAGCTCAGGCTTACACTACTGAAGTCTACCAGCTCAGGTTGACACTACTGAAGTCTACCAGCTCAGACTGACACTACTGAAGTCTCCCAGCTCAGGCTGGCACTACTGAAGTCGCCCAGCTCAGGCTAACACAACTGAAGTCTCCCAGCTCAGGCTGACACTACTGAAGTCTCCCAGCTCAGGCTGACACTACTGAAGTCTCCCAGCTCAGGCTGACACTACTGAAGTCTCCCAGCTCAGGCTAACACAACTGAAGTCTCCCAGCTCAGGCTGACACTACTGAAGTCTCCCAGCTCAGGCTGACACTACTGAAGTCTCCCAGCTCAGGCTGACACTACTGAAGTCTCCCAGCTCAGGATAACACAACTGAAGTCTCCCAGCTCAGGCTGACACTACTGAAGTCTCCCAGCTCAGGCTGACACCACTGAAGTCTCCCAGCTCAGGCTGACTACTGAAGTCTCCCAGCTCAGACTGACACTACTGAAGTCTCCCAGCTCAGGCTGACACTACTGAAGTCTCCCAGCTCAGACTGACATACTGAAGTCTCCCAGCTCAGGCTGACACTACTGAAGTCTCCCAGCTCAGACGGGCACTACTGAGTCTCCCAGCTCAGGCTGACACTACTGAAGTCTCCAGCTCAGACTGACCACTAAAGTCTCCCAGCTCAGACTGACACTACTAAAGTCTCCCAGCTCAGGCTGACACTACTGGAGTCTCCCAGCTCAGGCTGACACTAGTGAAGTCTCCCAGCTCAGACTGACACTACTAAAGTCTCCCAGCTCAGACTGACACTACTGGAGTCTCCCAGCTCAGGCTAACATATTTCATCACTATGAGCTCCATTCTGCTTGGTAGAAAACTGCAGGGAAATTCTTCATTTGTGCTTTAGCACCACCACCAGGCCCGGTGGCCTGGTGGTGGTGGCCCGGTAGCCTGGTGGCTAAAGCTCCCGCTTCACACACGGAGGGCCCGGGTTCGATTCCCGGCGGGTGGAAACATTTCGACACGTTTCCTTACACCTATTGTCCTGTTCACCTAGCAGAAAATAGGTACCTGGGTGTTAGTCGACTGGTGTGGGTCGCATCCTGGGGGACAAGATTAAGGACCCCAATGGAAATAAGTTAAGACAGTCCTCGATGACGCACTGACTTTCTTGGGTTATCCTGGGTGGCTAACCCTCCGGGGTTAAAAATCCGAACGAAATCTTATCTTAGCTCAATTGGTAGCGCACTCAGCTCATACACTGAGGTCCGGAGGTCGATCCCAAGTACGGATGGAAACATAAGGACGTGTTTATTCAAGACATTTCCTGTCTATGTTCACTTATCACTAAATAGGTACCTAGGTGTTAGTTGACTGGTGTGGGTCGCATCCTGGGACAAAATTTACCTAATTTGCCCGAAATTAGGCCATACAGTGACATACTGACAGCAGTATGTCACTGATGTCAGCTAGGCCTTTATAGCTTGTAGAAATAAATATTATTATTATTATTATTATTATTATTATTATTATTATTATTATTATTATTATTATTATTATTATTATTATATAGAATACAGTAGCAGCTCAATGCTGATAATGTTTCCATTTTTAATATATTGTATAAAAACGGAGAGGAACTGCTAATTTGTAATGTTTAATATAAGTTGCTTTAGTTTAAATAATTTGTATTGATTTGTTTAATTTGCACTGATTAGCTTAATTTGTAATATGTATTTTTTAGAATTTAAGATTGTTTTTAATTTGTATAATATGTAAATTGTTAAAGATGATTATTGTTACATAATGAAGGAATACGATTCTTTAACTTTTGTAAGAGCATAACTTTTATTGTAAATTATTTTTAGTTTTTCCTGTCGATGATATTATTTGTGAAGCTCAGAGTGTGTGACTGACATTCAGTATTATATATTTCATACATCTAATACACTGTAAATTGTGTATACGCATTTGTTGCTTCATTATAAGACAAGTGAATGTTTGTTAGAATGATGTGGTAGGTAGACTTCACCAGTAGAAACATAGATTCACAAGAAGCTTTAATGAGACTGGCTGAGACAAGCTTGAAGCACGTAAATATTGAGGCTCAGTAATATTGGTGGTGTGACTAGTGGTAAGTAGCAACATCTCTCATCTGTGGAGTGTGATAGACAGCAGACATCTCTCATCTGTGGAGTGTGATAGACAGCAGACACATCTGGTGGAGTCCCTGGGGCCAGGAGAGCCACTTCTTACCTTCAAGTAAAGTGCACACAAGCTCAAGATCTCTCCTGTGTGATGTAAGTCATAGTGTGTGTGGCTTTACTGCATCTTGACGCCAGCTTTTATCACTGTTACAAGAAGTGTTGCTTCTCAGCATGAAAGATGTGTTGAGAGAAAGCCAGCAACAACTGCCTCCCCTCCTCACTATTACTACTCTTAATAGCTTTACTAGTCACCGCAGTCTTATACTCACCGATATGAAATATATTTTATTAACCTAGAGGGTAAACCCAGGATAACCCATTGGAAATACATCACTGACTTTTTTTGGGTTATCCTAGGTAATTTATACTGTATCATATTTATTTATTTGAACATGATACAGAGAAGTACAAAAGAATACAGTTAAATGCAGCATGCCAAAGCCAAAGAACTTTGTCCTTGGAAGCAAAAAGAGGAATGTATGAGAGTATAGTTTTACCAACGCTCCTGTATGGGTGTGAAACATGGGTGATGAATGTTGCAGCGAGGAGAAGGCTGGAGGCAGTGGAGATGTCATGTCTGAGGGCAATGTGTGGTGTGAATATAATGCAGA